TTTTAAGTTGGGTCTTTCCCTGGTTTGGGAATCAAAGTGCTACTTGCTTCCAGGAATGAATTTGGAAATATTGCTTCCCTTTGAATTTCATTAAAAAGTTTAAACAGTAGTGGCAGTAGTTTTTCTCTAAATGTCTTGTAAAATTTAGCAGTGAATCTATAAGGAACTGGGCTTTTCTTTGTTTGTGAACTTTTAATTATATTTTCAATTTCATTGATTGATTGTAATTAGGGTGTTTAAAATTTTTATCTTCTTTGTTCAACTTTGGAAATTCATAAGTATCTAAAAATCTGTCCATTTATTCTGTGTTTTCCACTTTATTAGAGTACAGGTTCTCAAAGTAGGTATTGATGGTCCTCTGGATTTCTGTTGGATCTGTTGTGACTTCACCTTTTTCATTCCTAATTGCATGGATCTGAGCCTTTTCCTTACTTTTTTTGATAAGGTTAGCTAAGGGTTTATTGATTTTATTTATTCTTTCAAAAGACCAACTCTTCAATTCATTTATTTTTTTATCATTTTCTTAGTTTCTATTGCCTTGATTTCTGCTCTAATCTTTATAATTTATTTTCTTGTATGAGCTTTGGGTTTTTCTTGTTCTTCTTTTTCCAGAAGTCTAAGATTCATCATTAGGTTGTTTATTTGGGCTTGCTCTGCTTTCCTAGTGTGGGCATTCAATGCTATGAATTTTCCATGTAGAACTGCTTACACTGTGTCCCATAGATTCCTAGATGTTGTATTGGTATTATCGTTTATTTGTAAAAACTGTCCAATTTCTTCTTCAATGTCCTCTGTGACCCATTGATGGTTCAGAAGAGTGTTATTCAATTTCCATGTGTTTGTGAAGTTCCTACAGTTTCTTATGCTATTGATATCCAACTTGATTGCACTATGATCTGATAATATATACAGGTCATAACTTGGATTTCTTTGCATTTATTCAAACCTGTTCTAAGAGCTATTATGTGGTCTATCTTGGAGAATGACCCATGTGCAGCCAAAAAGAATATATATTCCAGTTTTGTGTGGTGGAACACTCTATAGACGTCTATTAAGTCCATATATTCAAAAGCTTGGTTCAGTTCTAGCATTTTCTTGTTGATTTTTTGCCTAGATGATCTGTCTATATGTGATAGTGGAGTATTTAGATCCCCAATACAATTGTATTACTGCTTATTTTGTTTTTCATGTTACTTAATATTTGTTTTATATAGTTGGGGGCATTAATATTTGGTGCATATATGTTTATGATTGTCATCTCTTCCCCTTCAATTGTTCCCTTTACAAGGATATAATGGCCTTCTTAATCAGTTTTGGTTTGAAACTTACTTTGTCTGTGAATAAGATAGCTACCACCCCTGCTTTTTTCTGGGCTCCAGTCACATGAAGAATTGTTTTCCATCCTTTCACTTTCAGTCTATGGGCTTCTTTTTCAATTAGGTGTGTTTCTTGTGTACAGCATATTATTAGATTTTGCTTCTTAATCCATTCTGCCAGTCTATTTCTCTTGATTGGTGAATTGAGGCCATTGACATTGATGGTTATAACTGATATGTACTGACTTCTTATTGTCATGTTATTGTCCTTTTGTTGACTCTTTTTACTTTTTTCCCCCTCTCCTTTTAGTTTCTTACCTTGCCTATTTGATTTGCTCTGTTGGGCCTCATGGTGCTGTGACCTTCACTGTCTTTTTCTAGGATATTGTTTAGAATTCCTTGTAGTGCTGGTTTGCTATTCATGAGGTTTCTCAGGTGTTCTTTGTCATGGAAGTATCTTATTTCCCCATCCATTTTGAAAGAGAGTTTTGCAGGATACATCAATCTAGGTTGGAGGTTGTTTTCTTTTAGGACTTGAAATACCTCATTCCACTCTTTGTCACGCGCACCTCGCCAGCAAGGAGCACGCAACACTCAGGATTCTTCTGAAGCACGCTTTATTAGAGGTTCTTCTGCATTCTTCAAGATGGCGGAAAGACCCCGAGCCGGATGCGAGCCTGCCTTTTATAGCCTCTCTCGTGACGTGGCCCATTTCTATTGGTCAATGCCGGCCTGCGTCATTCTGATGAGCCAAGCGCCTCTTCTGCGCAGGCGTGAACCGCCGTCACCGGCAGACTCACATCCGGGATTCATGCAGGGCATGAAGAACCCGGAAATAATGGCACGTGACAACTCTTTCCTTGACCTGAGGGTTGTGTTGAAAAATCTGCTGTGATTCTGATGGGCTTTCCTTTGCATGTGATTTGTTTCTTTTCTTTAACTGCTTGAAGTATTTTGTTCTTCTGTTGGGTTTCTGGGATCTTGATTATTATATGTCTAGGTGTAGATTTTTTTTTTTATTGTGGCTAGCTGGAGTCCTATATCCCTCACTTATCTCTATGTCAAATTCTTCCCCTCTGTTTGGGAAGTTTTCTGTCATTAATTCTGTGAACAACTTTTCTAAGTCATTTGTGTTTTCTCCTGCTAATTCATAGATTCATATCAGTCTTATGTTATTCTTCTTTGCATCATCTAGGAGTTGTTGGATCAGTTTATCATTATCCCTTACTGATTTTAAGAGATCTCTCTTTTCACAATCACTGACTGCAATCCTATCTTCTCTATCTGAGATTCTATCTTTGCATTCTTTAATTATGCTACAAACACTTTAAATAGAGTTTTTAATCTCCTGGATATCTGTTTGAATCTGTTTTATGGATCCATTTCTCTCCTATGTTCGGCATTCTTTGTTTCTATTTCTTTCTTATGCTGGGCCTTCATGGCTTCTATCATGGTCCTGAGCTCATCTAGTTTTTTGTTAGTTTCTGTTCTAGAGTTTCTAATCATGAATTTCGTTTTGCTCACCATCTCTATGGTTATCTGGAAAATTATTTCTGTTTTGAATTTTTTCTAGAGCCCAATTGATCCATTTTGTTACTTCCTATGCTATGAGATCAGAGTGTCCTGCTGGTTCACTATCAGACTTTTCATCTTCATTTGCCCTACTGTCTGCCATTGGTGAATTGAAAGTCTGTCTTTGTATCTTGCTTAAGTGTTTTCTCATTTTTATTGTTGCTGTTGGGTTGTCCTTGGTTTAATTCCTGAATTATTACTTAAATCTTCCTGATATAGTTGTGCTTTAACTTTTGAGTCTCTAATGACTCATAGACATTCTCATTTTCATAATATCAGAGAAGAAACTCATTAAATCAATCACAATCCTTTAGCCCAATTGATACAATCAGCAACACAATAGGATCAAGCACAATCTACAAGTTGACCACTTGTAGTAGTCATTAATCTATCACATTTAAACCATGAGAATTAAATTAAAATCAAGAAGGAGGGGATGAGGGGAGGGCAGGGACAAAGGGAAAAAATGAGAACCAAGACCACCTGTCACATAAAGGTACAAGATCCCAATAATGAATGTAACTGTACTGTATACCTAAAATGTACCAATAAACTCAATAAAAGAAAAAAATTAAAATCAAGAAGCAGCCCAAAATATGTTTGCAGTGAATAAACTCTTCAATATAGTATCTTTACCATTTAGGATGGGGGCTTAAAGAGTTAGGATGAGTGGAGTGGATAAGTAAAAGGATTGGAGAAGGTTTCAAGTGAAGCCAGAGGATATAGAATGACCATACAATCTTTATGAATCTGTTAAAGTCAAAAGGGAAAGACAGAGTGCAAGAATAAGGACAAGAATATAACAACTTAACATTAATAGGTACTCGCTTTTCTTTAAAACTATTGACCCTTGAGTGAAGTAAAATGAGAGAGAAAAGAACATTTAAAAAATGATAAAAGAAGTAATCTGAGTTAGGGCAGGAACAGGAACAGAAAGGGAGATGAGGAATAATATGGTGGAGCAAGTGACTGAGTTGGAGCAAGAGGAAAGAAAAAAGAAAGAATTTGCAGAGTGCAATGAGGAAAAGAAAGAAAGAAAAGAATTTGAAGGACCTCTTTCAGACAATATCTCTGCTGTCATAATATAAAACATGTGCAGCCATGTGTAGAACTAAGTCTTTTGATCTCAGCTAGCCAATGGCAGACCCTGAGATGCAGACTGATTTCAGGCTGCAAGGCCCAAATTGAGTTCCCTGACCTCCTGCAGGGTTGAACTCTGCAAAGTTCTATTATAGGTTCCCTTTGCCCTTTCTTTAAAGATGTTCCAAGTCTGGAGCTCAGAAAAAAATGCCCTTTATGACCACCTGTGCCTCTGCAGAGTGGATCCAAGGACTGGCACAATTAGTAGGCCCAAGAGCAGGGGTGGGGGATGGGGGGTGTCAAGGATGGGGGTGTTGTAGGGGCACCCACGTGGAAAGCTAGTCCTCACCTATTGGGCCCAGACAGGCTGGAGGGAGAATGGATCTCAGAGCAACTGTGCCAGACTTCCACCTTCCCTTTGGTGCTGGTCATGGTGCGCGCAGAGTGAGGTCAAGGACTGTTTCTTAACTGTGGGCCATCATCAACAAAATACGCAGATGCATATACATGGAAAGAGTTGTACATAATTTTATAGAATTGTTAGAACATTTTTCCCATAAGATTTGGAAACATTCTCCTTCTCAGTACTCATTTATGCTCTATTACACAAAGTTTAAATTCTGACCATGCTAGACTACAAGAAACTTCAACACTGTTGTGATGTTTAATATAAAAATACACATTTTCATACACCCCATAGTACTTGTAAAGTATCTTCGTCAGTGGCTTGGCTTCTGGAATCTCTCCCTTGAAATCCTTTTTTCATGTTTTCATTCCATTTGTCTACCAGTGACCTGTTACCTGAATAACGTGGGAAGCATTTGGGAAAGATAAATGTTACTTTTCAGGTTTCAGTAACTACTGTTATTCCTGACAAATTATTGTATCTTGTGGGAAATAATGTTTACTAAAGAACTTGGATTGTCCTCACCGGATTAACACAGTCTTCATTCACGCTTAAATTTAGTATCTATGTAATTCATGTCATCCCCAACAGATGTTATAAGTCATCCTTCCATTTGTATTTTCCAGGTTTCTTGAGTACAGGGGACCAGGCTGCAAAAGGAAACTATGGACTTCTTGATCTCATACAGGCTTTAAGATGGACTAGTGAAAACATTGGATTCTTTGGTGGTGACCCCTTGAGAATCACTGTTTTTGGATCAGGCGCTGGGGGTTCATGTGTCAATCTGCTGACTTTATCCCATTATTCTGAAGGTAACCGTTGGAGCAATTCAACCAAAGGTATTATGCAGGTTGCAAATTTTGACAATTTTGGTGTCTGCATGCCACCACTATCAGTAGTATGTGATGCTTTGTATATATTTCTCTGTTCAAACTGAGTGTTAGGTTGAACTCAATAACTGTTTGAAACTATTTCTTTAGCTTTTGTATGCATGTTTAAATTTTTGTCACACATTTTTCTTTGTCTCCTGTGTAGCTTGGTAAGAATGCCCTTTCAAGCACACTTCAAAATAGTTAGCATTAGAGTTATTTTTCTTTCTTTCAAAGGGTGATTTTGGAGAAAATCAGGCAAAGATATTCACAGTTCTGTCCTCTCTGCTTATTCAGTAATCAAAATCAAAGAAGTTTTTTAATACAGAGATTGTATATAATGTATTTTCAAGATAATAGACATTTAAAGCCCTTTAATAGTATGAAACTAATGAAGCTGCCATAAGCTAGTTTGTCTGGAAACATGTGAATTCACTTGTTGCTGAGAAGAGAATGGGTATTTGATTATTTTGCATGCATGATCCAAAATTGTCAAAGCATCAAGGTCAGTTCTTTTGATTAAAAAGAAAAATATATTTGATTTTGTGCTTTTTTCTGTTTTCAACACCAAAAGTGTTTTTTCCCCTAAAGCTTGGCATAGCAGCATAAAGTACTGAGGCTGCTTAAATCCATGAAATATTTTACTTGTTTCCATTTGCTGGCTTTGACATCCAAAGTGCCTGTCCAAGGCTCATCTTGTTGTTCTTTATGGGCTCCATTTTACCATGTGTTTGATCACCCATTTTAACTGCATTATTAATTTGAAAGATCTACATGAACAGAAGACTTTTTCTGAAGAAGTCTGCAAAGCATTTCCATTATTTATGTATAATAGAGAGGACAATAGAGAATGTACATCAACACAGAGCATCTTTTATTTTCTGCTTCTCATCATTTTATATATAATTAACTTAATTATTCACTGTTATTTATAATTTAAGAAGCATCTAAAACATAATATTGAGTTTTATGATATATAATATTTGTTGTAGTTATCAAAGATACAGTAATGTGGAAATCCAAAGAACAGCTAGTCATTAAATGAGTATATAGATATATATATATATATATTTAAATAGTGAAATCATGCTTCATCACAGACTTAATTCATCAACATATTTATATAATATCTTTTATATCAGTAAGATTCTGATTTGAGATAACAAAATGGTGCAAATGAGAAAATTTTCAGTTGTATAGAGATTTTCATCTGTAACGAAATGATTTCTTTTGAAATAACTAACTTGGGCTTTTATAAAGTAAATAGATTACATTGTTCTACTTTTAGTATGATATTAGTGCCAATATTTAGTTAAATGACAACTTGTCTAAACTTACCAGGTCATTTTATCAAAAGTGGGCACAAAAGCCAATCTCAGTTGAGACTAGTGTTACATAAATCATTTAATTCATAAACTATCATTGCTGTTCAACAATTGACAGTGTAGGGAATGGTTATGAAAAAAAAGCTGAAACAGTAGCCCTTTACCTTAATCTTTAATAAAATGTGTCTATACCTAGCCAGAGACATGGGCTTCTATTTGATCTTGTCCTAAACCCATCTCCAGAATGAGCTGCTGGACTTGACCTGGACATGCTGAGAAGATCTCTGGAAATTGTCTGGTCACTTCTGCCTCCAACTCAGACACTGATTTTAAAGCTGTAAACTCCACAAAAAGCTAAAGCTACCCTCAGACCTGCATCAACCATGCATTAATTACATCTTGCATACATTTAACAAGCCTTCTCATTGGTGATAAGCCTTCTCATTTCCCAATATCACCTAAATGGCAATTTCAGGCAGTATTCAACATGACGTCTATTTTACTTCATCATTTTTTGGCATATTCAGTTAATGCCACTGAGTCCCTGAAATGGGAAAGAATATTATAAAAGTCATCAGGCTTCTTTTAGCTATAAAAATTTTAATTTATAAACTATTATCCTGAGAAAATATTGACAGCCTATATTTTTTTTAATTATTGGTATTTAAATATTTTCTCTAGCATATTTTTCTCTATTAATCTAAAATATATTCATAAAGATGTCAGAAAAGCACAAATTTGAATTAGTATTGTTTATCTTGTTGAATATTTTTAGAATTATCTAGGGTCAAATTACAGTATTTTTAATATATATGTGTGTGTTTGGAGAAAAATCTAAAACTTCTACCAGTGCATTAACACTTTTGTGAAAAGTTATTTTCTCATCATATATGAATAATTTAGCATGTTTTTAATTAACTGAACTACAAAGTTACATCTAGAAAACTATAATAAATGTAAAGGAAAATGGATAAATTTTATTTTAAAGCACTAATTTTTTTAGATCATACCTTAATGAGTAGAAAATTGCAGTTGTAAAATTCCATGATACTCAGCTATCGAACTGCATAGGGGGTGAAAATTTACATTACTTAAATGTAATTAAGTAAAAAGCAGTAGATCATGTTTCATAATTTATGATAAAATATAGCAGTGTACATTCAAGAGTGAAAAAAGATTAGCCCCTCACTAAATCCTTCTGCTGGTGGTTTTTTCCTTTGACTTAGTGAAGACACTCCAATTGTTATGTTTCCTTCTGAAAGCTGAATAATCAGCCTAATATGTCTGACATGAAGATCTGGATAGAGTATGTCTAAAGTGCTATTCTGTTTTGTGTCTGACTTTAGGTCCATCCCCAGGATATTAACAAATACCTAGCCCCAATAGTTGCATGAAGTTTCAATTATTTTTCAAATTACATCTGGTTAAAACACAAGGAATCGCTTTTAAAGAGGACAGATACAGTCAAATTAGAATATGTCTCAGACAATACCAAGTCTGAGGGGGAATCAAAAAAGGATTTTCTCCATCTATTTGCTATTAATAATTTATGTAGTTTCATGTTCATTGAAGAAACTATTTGCTGCTTTTTACGATTAGTATTTACAGCTGTTCATCTCCTTTTTTACTGCCTCTTTGAGACCCAGCAAAATTTAGAACTCTTGACCATTCAAGCAGATGCCACTCAAAGCACGGGATCTAAGTCTGCATTTCTGATTCATTATACCCTGGGGATGACTTTGTGTACCTTCTCTTAGGCAAATCTCTCTCTCTTTCTCTCTCTCTCTCTCTCTCTCTCTCTCTCTCTCTCTCTCTCTGTCTCTCTAGGTTTCTATATATGTCTAAAATATCAGATTTTATTGTTTTTCTGCAAATTTTTCAAGGTCATCTGAAACTCTTTGTTGATTTTCCCATAGGACTTTTTCAACGAGCAATAGCTCAGAGTGGAACAGCCCTTTCCAGCTGGGCTGTTAGTTTCCAACCTGCAAAATATGCTAGAATGTTGGCCACAAAAGTTGGCTGCAATGTTTCAGATACAGTAGAGTTAGTGGAATGTCTCCAGAAGAAGCCTTACAAAGAACTTGTTGATCAAGATATTCAACCAGCCCGATACCACATAGCCTTTGGACCTGTGATCGATGGTGATGTAATACCAGATGATCCTCAGATACTTATGGAACAAGGAGAGTTTCTCAACTATGATATAATGTTAGGAGTTAACCAAGGGGAAGGGTTAAAATTTGTTGAAAATATAGTGGATAGTGATGATGGTATATCTGCTAGTGATTTTGACTTTGCTGTTTCCAATTTTGTTGATAATTTATATGGATATCCGGAAGGCAAAGATGTTTTGAGAGAAACCATTAAATTCATGTATACCGATTGGGCTGACCGGCACAACCCTGAAACCAGAAGGAAGACATTACTGGCTTTGTTTACGGACCATCAGTGGGTGGCACCAGCTGTAGCTACAGCAGATCTTCACTCAAACTTTGGTTCACCCACATACTTCTATGCTTTTTACCATCATTGCCAAACAGATCAGGTTCCAGCTTGGGCTGATGCAGCCCATGGAGATGAGGTTCCCTATGTACTTGGAATACCCATGATTGGTCCTACAGAGTTATTTCCTTGCAATTTCTCCAAAAATGATGTGATGCTGAGTGCAGTAGTAATGACTTACTGGACAAATTTTGCTAAAACTGGGTAAGTACCTAAGGAGTGCACTTTACTACAATTTTAATCAGAACATTATATTAAGTATTTTTAAATGAATACGGTGTCCAAATAATTTAATAGGTCATTCAGCAATATATTAAATTTCTTTATGCAACATTAACTCTATATTATACCTCTAAAGGTCATTGCTTTATGAGTTATTACCTTTAAGAAATTTATTAAGAAAGACATATCTTTATTGCATTACTCAAGAATTAAATGTGCTGTTTTTTTTAGTTATACAATTTTAATCATGCAATTGTTTTTTAATTATGCAATAACAAAAAGTACTTCTGCATAGAGTTTTCTAGTTCATAACACTGTATGTTCTTTGATTGTTCCAACTTGAGGGGTAGGCAAGTCAAATATAATCTCATTTTCACAAATGGAAACTGAGGCTCTATGAGCTTCATATAAATATTCAAATGTCATGTATGTACCATACCAGGACTCAAATCTTTATCTACCAGTTCCAAATCCCAAGACTGTTCATGTCATCCCTACTACACTGCTTAGGAGACAACTCATAAGTATGTGAATATTTAAATAATTCCAACAAATCTTTGAGTAGATAGTAGCCCATCACTAAAATAGGCAGAGAGAGCAAAGAATGTGAACTTTCCTTGCTCCATCTAACAACCTGCCTGTTATAAGGCATAAATGTCCAACGTGACCCAAGTTAATGTTAAAACATAATCTAAAATCTTTCTAAATTGCCTCTTCAATTAGATATTAAGCTAATTGTGTTTTGACTCAGAAAAATACAAAAAAAATTGTTCCATAATTTTTTTTCTCTGCTAGTGACCCAAATCAACCAGTTCCTCAAGACACAAAATTCATCCATACTAAACCCAATCGCTTTGAAGAAGTAGCATGGACCAGATATTCCCAGAAAGACCAACTTTATCTCCATATTGGATTAAAACCAAGGGTTAAAGAGCATTACAGAGCCAATAAGGTGAACCTCTGGCTGGAGCTGGTACCTCATCTGCATAATCTCAATGACATTTCTCAGTATACCTCGACAACAACTAAAGTGCCATCGACTGACATCACTCTCAGACCTACAAGGAAAAATTCTGTACCTGTAACATCTGCCTTTCCCACGGCCAAGCAAGATGATCCCAAACAACAACCAAGTCCATTTTCAGTGGATCAAAGGGACTACTCCACAGAGCTCAGTGTTACTATTGCAGTCGGAGCATCACTGCTTTTTCTGAACATCTTGGCCTTTGCAGCCCTGTACTACAAAAAGGATAAGAGGAGACATGACGTTCACCGAAGGTGCAGCCCTCAGCGCACGACTACCAATGACCTGACCCATGCCCAGGAAGAGGAAATCATGTCACTCCAGATGAAGCACACTGATTTGGATCATGAATGTGAGTCCATCCATCCACATGAGGTGGTTCTTCGGACCGCCTGCCCCCCAGATTACACACTAGCTATGAGAAGATCACCTGATGATGTTCCCTTAATGACACCCAACACTATTACGATGATTCCCAACACTATACCAGGGATTCAGCCCTTACACACATTCAATACATTTACTGGAGGACAGAACAATACTCTGCCCCACCCCCACCCCCACCCCCATTCACATTCAACAACCAGGGTATAGCCAGATAAGAGAAACAAACTATTTTTTTGATGGATTACCGTAAAAGATTACTGAAGAATTCTTGGCTTTCAACCTACAAGACTCTCACTATTTAAATAAGGAGGAATATTATGTGAATATACATATCAAGAACTTTGGGGGTTTTGAAAATATGAATTGTACATATATACACAAATCAACTGCAAAAACACATTGCAATTGCTTGAAGCAGTTGTTCTGAATGATACTTTTTCATTCACATTCAAGAATTAATTTTTTGAAGATTTAAGTTACATAATGGAATTAGGCATGTGGAACACCAAACAGGAAAGAACTATGTCTGAAATATAAAAAATAAAAATTAAAAAACAACTATGAATATGCACAAGGGACACACCAATGGAATATCAGATAATTTTCACCAGTTTTTATTTGGAGCCGTTTTATTGTGTAGACCATATTTACATATTTGGATAAGTACACAAAGCACCAATGCTGTTAATGGCCTTAGCAGAGGCTTATGCTGAAATTTGCCAGTAAAACAAAGAAGTTTAAAGACTGGCAGGTACAACATTATCACATAAGTGCTGTCAGTATAAAGTTGTGGGGATAAAGGAAACTGGATATTTTTAGCACGATGTGCATGATAATTTATATGCTTGGTGGCTGTGCTGCTGATTAAGCCGTAATTAAAATTCTTCTCATCCCATTGGAGTTTTTAATAGAAGCTTCCTCCATCAATTGGCAGAACCTAAAGAAGATTTTAAGGGGCAAAAGTAATTGCAGTAAAATAAATCACAGTAGTGTCAATAATAGAAGGGATTAGTTATTAAAGGTATTTGAAGAAACTATAGGTATAGTGATGATACTCGCTGATACAAACCCCAAAAATAAATTCCTGTGTTTTAATGTTCTTTTCATTCTCATCTAAACCATTTAGAGAAATATAACCCTAATTGGACATGTGTTACAGGATCTATAATTTGCTGTGGGCTTTGTTACTCTGTATTTTGTTCCTTTTGGTAAGGTGAAGTGTGTCCAAAGCATTACTTGCGACAGTTTTTTTATGATATGAGGGTGCCCAATATTATCACTCTGATCACAATTCTCAGTTAATTGATTTACTCATGTTGCATGACAAAATGTCTAATAATAATAATAATTCAGTATAAAGTTATGTCCCGCTTCACATCACTTAACTTTCTCGCTGAGGTTCATTCACTGGAATTTACTCACATGATCTCAGTAAAGTACAACATAGAAACAGAACGTAGGAGAGTCGACACCTGGAAGATTTTAGTCTTACACATATGTGTGATTTTAAATGAATTTCTAAGATCACAGGAAACTCATCTCCCTGTTGTTTACCAATAATACGAGTATATCACAGACCTTTCCAAATGTTTGTATATGTAATCAGATGTACATTTATATTAAAAAAAGAGATGGACTTAAAGAGCACATCCTGACAAATACTTTCTCTCTTACCTGTACTATATTTCTATTAGACTAAAGTTATGTGATTTTTTTTTACATTTTTTCAGATGACTAGCAATTTTGATAGTTTGTAAGATAATGCAAAGAACTTTCTCTGACAAACTAACTGCAGTAACAGAAACCTTTCTTTTCAGTTACTCTTTTTCAAGAATGAAAGCTTATTATACAAAAGAAAAATATTGTATACTACTTGATGGAAACAACTTTGTACATCTTGGCCATGTCACTGGTCATTGTGTGAAATAAAGATAATCTGGATAATGACTATTAGTCAAATGCTAAGAGACATGATCTTTGCTCATTAAAGAGCTAAAATGTTTATTGCTGTTTTGTCTTTTTTTAAAAAACAAATACAAAAACGAAAGGAACATGACTGTCTCAAAGAATCATTTTTCTAGACCTGTCCGGTTTTTGAAGACATGCAAGTGACTTCTACAGAAAACACAGATATGTATTTAAAGGCAAGTCTTAGCCAAGATAAAACATGTGAAGGTTTGACATTATGAATTTCTAAGCTTCAGGAACTAATGAAAAATATTAGCTTTGCATTTTTATGTACCCCATGTGTGAAGGTGTTGTAGAAGGAAAGTGATAATTGGTTTCAGTTAGAAACAGAGGTTACATTTTTTTGTTCATCAGGAAAAAGGTCTATTGGAAATAAATATGTGATATTTCATTAAATAAAATTTCTAGGTTTGTAATGCAAAGGTAATTCAACCAGCATAAAGTAATTGCTAAAAAGTTATCCTAAGAAAAATTTAAAAGTACTGAAAAAGACATTAAACTGACACTAGAAGATAAAAGAATTATCTCAAGGAATTTATTTGATTATAATTTCTCCTCCCAATTATTAACTCTCAGTGAAATACAGATATTTTCCCATAATTTCAAATAAAAATCTGTTAGAAGCAAAAAGTCTTCAAAATCCAGAGTGGTCTGTATTTAAGTTTTGCCTGATGTGGTTATGTTTTTAGAATGTGAAATGCCAATGTAAACCAATAAAAAGAAATGTTTAGCATCTGAAATACTGTTTAATCAGAAAACTGTCTTTTACTGTATTAATTAAACAAAGGGTAAAAACAGAAAGAGAAGTGCCAATTAAATAAGATGTGAATGAATACTTTCATATGCATTACTTCACTTGAAAAAACCAAGCATTCAATTGTGTTCTACTGAAGGCCCTATTTCTATCTACATACTTACTTTTCTACATTTATCAATCAATCAATCAATCTGTATATAACATATCTGACATCTAATTTGTATTAATTTAGAGAAATGATTAAGGAAATGATTTAGGGAAAACAAAGCATAACCCCACTCTTTTCTCTAAATTAAGATAGCATCTATCAAGTTTATAGAAGATAAAACAGCCAAGTTTTATTGTTATTTTCAAGTCATGTTGTAAAGTCATTGTAAATGAGTGTTAGTTGTTAGTTTTATAATTACACCCTCTGGTTTTCTGAATGTAAATTGATGTCCCATGGTCAGTAGAATATTAAGAATTGTTTGTTTTAAATTTTTATTTTTTATTAGTACATGTTTACAATAAAATGATTACATTTTTCATGGAGAGTTGGTACATATACTATTTTTAAAGCTGAAACTTAGTTTTCAAATGCAAGAAAAATTTTGAACGTTGTTATTCAGTTTTAAGTAATATGTTGAAAATGTATTTATTTAGATCAGTTGCATTAGTATAAAAAGTAGGTACCAAAATTGAAATACTATTTTGGCATTATACATTGATTCAGATCTTTCTGCTTGGATTAAATTATAACTGAGCAAGGCTACAGAGTGATCTCTATTTCACTGATTTGCTCTTCTATGAAGTTTTTCCAAATATTTATCAAAAGATTAACATTTTATTAGAGTATGAGGTAAGAAATATTGCAGTGACAGTCTTAATTTTTTCAAATTTTTATTGACCATGTGAACTGTGAAATTATCTACTGCAGGTATTTAACGAACTTCTTCAACTTTTATGCAAATTGGAACAAGATTTACTAAAACATTACAAATGTTCGATTTAGGTGCATCTCAGCTCAAAACAGAAAAACCTGAGTATAGATATACCAAACTTAAAAGTTGGTTAAAAATATGATTTAATTTAGATTTCTTGATCTGTTCAACATGAAAACTGCAAAAAAAAATATGTTGACCTTTCGCCATATGTAATACTAAGTAGGAAAACATGGTGCAATAATTTCATGACAGAAATTAAGAGCCAAAACTCAATTAATACTGCTGTAATAAATATTGCAACAATAGCTATTTCACCTGTTGGCATACTCATACTGACACACATATTAATCACAGAAAAGAATATGAATAATGTAACAAATGCGTTCCGCCTTTAAAGACACTACTACATAGAAATCACTGGGATTCTTTTCTTTGGGAGATCCACTGAAATATTTTCACAGGATAAAATGACACATGGAATTCTTAGGAAGCTGTCAAACATCATGACAGTCTTTTGATGTTAGTAATTTCATTTTCCACTGTATTATTGGTTCAAAGTACTGGCCTTTCCCTTCATTTCTAGTAATTAGTTGTTATAGACTATCACTTTTTACTGTGAGTGAAAATTAGATAATTTGTTATACTTGTGAAAACATGTTCCCAAATAAATTCAATTAATGGGCACTTCCCTGCTGAGATTTTGTTATCATTCATTTAATTATCTTGCCAAGCTTTACTGTTACAGCAATTACTTTATCTTTTTAGTCAATAAATTAAGGGAATGTCTCCAATAGCCTTATACCTCTCCTGCACTTGATATGTTAACAACACACACTTCAGAGTTCCATTAGAAGCCACTGAAGAAATTTCCTACTGATGTGAAACATTTGGTTGCCCAACTTGATACTTTTTCATAAGCATTGTGATTTACTTTTAATCTAGCACTTTGCTGTATTTATATGCAAGCCAGAAATCAACTCTATTTGGTTAGAGTTGTGGAAAATACAGATTTGAATGACCATGTGCAGGCCTTAAGTTAAGTGCCTTTTCCTTCTGGAATTTTGTTTATAAATCTTTTTTTAAATTTTCAGGTTTGGATAAATTGATTTAAAAGATAATATAGAATGAATATGTTCTCAATTGCCAATAAGACATTTTTATTTGAAATACTTGCATTGAATTTAATTTTAATGTTATCAAATGGATTCAAATAAGTCCTTGAAAGAACAAAGTCAATTTTTAGAAAATGATATTATTTAGCTATCTGATTTGATAGTTCTTAGGAAAAAATTTATATCTCTAATAAACTCAAATTTTTCCAAATGAGTACATTTTATTTATTAGG